TGAGTCATTTTTGCAAAAAAAGTAAAGTATATAAAATTATCTTCTTCCATGGATCATATAATTGAATTGTTCGTAATGTCGAACAATAGTATTTGTCGAATTAAAGATTTGTTTATTTGGTCTATTCTAATAGACAAACTTCTTTAAATTTAGTAAAATTCATTATGTCCAAAAAAATCCTGGCAAGAACCGAAGGAAAATTTAGCACACGCGTCGTCCAACATACAGTATGTCACTGATTGATCCTCACAAAACTTAATGGAAGATTATTGGAACAAAGAACATACTGAGATGAACATAATTGTCCTATACCGTTTTGCGATATTCGCAAAAAATATGGAAATGTTAATTAAAGAAATTGGGGAGTAATCATGCCCGATATGTTAAATGAGTTGTGGCCCCGTCTGCTGTTTTATACTTTATATGTTAATTCAAACTGAAACATAAAAGTCCTCTATCATTTTACAACTGACTACATGGACTTTTAGACAATAATCAAAGAACATTAGTGCATGACCGCACACACTTATACAGCACAAATTTTCAAAAGACGTTCTAAAGTGTTTCTAGACGGGCAATCATACATCCTCAGAATATCCTAGGACATTCTCTGAAGATTTTGTGTTATTATCTAGGCAAATATATAACGATTTTTTTGATAAATAACTAAAACTTTAGGTAGTAATTTGCAAAATAATAAATTTTTTGCTCAATTTGATTAAATGTACAAACATATGATAGTTTATATTTTTACAATAACTCATCTGCCCATTGCGTGTAATCATTTCTCAATCTTCCATAATGAGTATCTCGAGATTTAATGTAAATATCACAAAACAGTATGGAACTTTCAAGTTCATCTCAAACCGATGTACGTTTCTACGAACGTTGCGGAGACAAATCTTGGAAACCTTCCTCTTAGCATCTAGAATAATCAACGAAATTTGGGTTATTTTAGTATTTAACGTACTCTCTAATATGTTAGGACAATCAAAATGTTTGTCTCGATTTTGAACAGAATACGTCGAATACATGATATTTATCGGTAAATTTTATTATATGTTGTGACGATGCATATACTATATAATTTTGTATATATTGTTGTGTAAAGATGCGATTCCTATTCATTGTGATTACTCGATGAATTATGCGCTCCCACAGAGTATAATAAGCATAATAAAACACAATTCGTCTGCACAATTGAAGCAAATCCCCTTTTGATTAAGATATTACAATAATCTCGTCCTCGATTAATAACATACGTAATTGTCCCAGTCATGTCAAAAACTCACAATGTTCAACGCATCAAAATTGTCGTGCATTACGCCATTCTATAAGTATCATCCTCTATGTAACGTCACCGATGTTCATATTGTTTCGCTGTGCTCGAAGACTCGAAAGTTCTTCGTTCCTCGATACGAAAAGTTATAAACATTAACATTGCAAAATTATACGATGTATCTCGTAGCTATGGGCGAAGGACCCAGCACGTCGCGATTAGCTTGTAACGGTCGCGCGCCGGCCCGAACGGTCAGACACAATAATGAATTACTCGAAACCTATTGCGAATTTCGCAAAATGGTATTTGACTTTCTTGTTCTTAATCCGTTCAACTTTCCTACGAATTGTGTCAAGAAAGTTTTCGGACACCCTGTATATATAATTTACTTTATTAATTTTCATATATAATTTTTTGTTTTATGTTGTGTGTAAAAATACCATACATTTATATTGTGAATATTCGATGAATAATCTACTTCAAAGAGTACAATAAAAATCAATTTGTTTTTAAATCGAAGTAAATCCCGTTTTGTTTAACACGTTATACTATATTTTCCATCGTCAATTTGTTTCTCCACCAATTACCAATCGCGAGTGTAATATACGTACCAGTCTAGCGGTGATGAGACAGCACGACGTACAATGTTCGCTCGCAAAGGTCTTCACAAACAAATTGATATATCAGTAACGTAAGATGTATGGTAAAAATTTACCAATTATAACTGAGTATTCACAAAATTGGCAACATTACGATTCGACAATATTCAATGTGATTCATCAATTTTTAAATGTTACGTTGCGGCTACTACAATTTAGGTGTGTTTAACACATCTGATGTTTTCCGAGTCGAAATTTTCGCACAATCTTTGACCTGAACTTCCTAACTTCTGTATTTGTTGGGTCTGAAGGATCTAAAGAATCAGCATACGCTTCTTTCATGAAAATCTGTTTACACTTTTTTGGAGTTACATAAAGTATTATAAAGTATGTTAACAATAATACCCCTAAACTTAAAATTTATTTGAATTTATTGAACTAATTAATTTTTGGGTTATTTAAATACTGCGATGTTTTTTTTAAATAAAATTCAAATATACTTTTGAGTTTACTTTTGATAAGACGATACTTAAAATACACTTTAATTGTTTAACTGTAAGTTATATAAAAACTATTATATATACAATTATATATAACTGTATAAAATTAGATAGAAGTGTATAAAATTATGTTTAGTTCGTTATATGATTATATATAATTTTACACGACATTTTACATAAGTACAATTTTGTATATGGTTGCTTGATGCTGCTTATATATAATTATATATTTCATCATATATCATATATATATATATATATATATATATATTTATTTATTTAAATATAATTATATAATTCTTTATTATATATGACAATATGGCAAATATGCTACGCTTATTATGAAAACTTACTTTAAAAGGCACAAAATAAATCACAAAGTATATCAAGGAACATATTAAGTGAACAATTAAGTGAATTTGTATTAATTTTCGACAAAACTTTAAGTATATTAGTTTTGTGCCATAAAAGGCACTTGAAGTGAAATAATCCGTTCAAAAGAAAACGTCTTTAGTCTGTAGCAATACCCATCTATGTACTGACTATACTAAGTATCTCTTAAATTTGACGAGCGAACAGCACCCGCTAATCGTAACGTCTTTAACGGTGTTCTTTGGACTTACATAATGTAACTTTGTAGTAGTCACAGAATATTACAATATATTTATTAGCAAACATTGAAATATATTTAATAGTAAAATATAATTTTTATTATTTATAATTATACAAATATATAAAATTCGCACATGTATGATTATATACAATATATATATATCATTTAATATTCTTTATTTAACTTTGGTTTGCATTTTATTTTGTGTGTTTAAAATAATATATTTATATATAAGTTATCATTTCATTAAGTAAAAGCTCTGTTATTTTGTTAATAAGAATCAATTAGATTAGTTTCAGATTTTAAACCAAATAATACTATGAATAATCTAAACAAAAAATATTTAGAGCAAATTACTCAATACTCAAAATCTTCTAGCTCAATAATATATATTCACTAGCTCAATAATATGTATTATACCAATATTTGTCGGATAATTAATGTTGATCCGTCATTTCAATGTTTGCTCATAAATATATTATAATATTCTGTGAATATTATAAGAAGGTACATTATGAAAGTTCTAAGAATATCCTTAGAACTATTACAATAATCGCGTACTGCACGGTCGCAAAAATTTAAGGAATAGGACTAAACATGTTCCAAACAAGGATGATTGATTAGTATCAAAGAAGATTTTTTTAGTGGGTTAGTTAACTTAGAGTAACCTTTCTAGTAAATTACCAAAATATCTAAAGTTTTGTTAAAAATTACAAAAAATTTACTAAATTAACTTTCTCCGTAAACTTTGCATTTTATGATTATTTGAGTATTTTAAAATAGATATTCCTAAATAATATGTCACCTTTGCATATTGGTCCTCATCATTAACGCATATTTCGTCATCTTAACAGTTAGAATTTATCTTGTCAACAACTTTTTCAATACATACAAACCTACTTATACATTGTTATTATTGTTCTGTGTACTGTTACCGGTTAAACATCTATATGTAATCAGTATACATATTTCTGTTACATTCCGTGAGTTGTCGAGCTTCGCGCATTATTTTGAAATAAATATTACAAACTACTCCAAACAATAATTAATAAGACGTATCCCGATGAATTTCCCGTTAACATTAACTTTTTATGGTCCATACACAGAAGACAGATATAATAAGTTTTTCAACCCAAACGTTTGTTATGTTTGCAAACTGTCCAGCAGGGACAGTCATATACTTGGGTATATATTTGGGTTGTCATATACTGTCCTATTTTCATTAGTGGTTTGTAGATGGTTTTGATATTGTGTTTTCTCAGGATTCTGCCAATTTTGTCTGTAATTCTCCGTATGTATGGAAGGAAAGTATTGATGAAGTTTCGTTCTTTTGTCTGTCTTTGGAGTTATTCAGTCCGTGTATTTTGCTGTCTTTTAGTTTGATGTTTCCTGATTGTTTTATTTATCTCTGTTGCCGTGCAGCCATTATTTGGAAACTCAAGGATTTTTGAAATCCTTGAGTTCGCTTTGGGTGCTGTTCATGTCGCGAGTGGCTAATGCTCTGTGTATTAACGAATCGAGGACCGATTGTTTTTGAGCTGGGTGATGGTATGATTCGGCATGGAAATATCGTTTGGTGTATGTAGGTTTCCTGTAAACTTGGTAGCCCAGGGAGCTATCTGTTCTTCTTATTACTAGGACATTCAGGAAAGAGAGTCTGTTATTTTGTTCGTCCAGTGATACTAATTGGTACCAGCGATACTTGAAGGTTAACATAAAATATGTCAATAGGGATCACTTAGAATCGGACAATTGAAAACTTATAAATGTGCTATTTAGTGTGTTTATTACAAGATTCCATTAAAAAGAATTACTAGAATGTTCCATGAATTATGCGCCATATAGGGTTAAAACATAATGATTTTGTTCACGTTGACAGGAAATTGGCGTTTGTCAACTGCCAAATTCTGATATTGTTATTAGATTCGTAATAAGCGATGCTGAGAACCTTAGTACACTCTACTGTACAGCGAAAAGGTAGAATGTTTTCCAATTGGGAAAGTAACTCGTAAAAGTTGATATTTTTTTACAAATTCTTATCAATATTGCAACATTTGGAAGAATTTTTTAAAAAATCGGGCTCGACAGTTTTAAAATAATATATTTATATACAAATTATCATTTCTTTGAATAAAATCTCTGTTATTTTGTTGAAAAGAACCAATTAGATTGATTTCAGATTTTAATATTAAAAATATTATTATGAAGAATCTAAACAGAAAATGTTTTAAAGCAAATATTCAAAAAGCTTTTAGCTTAATCATTCGTTGAACATTTAAAAACAGTGATACAATCACTAACTCAGTAATATACACTAATATTTGTTGAATATTTAATGTTGTTCCGTCATTTCAATGTCTGCTCATAAACATATTATAATATTCTGTGAATGCTATAAGAAGATACGTTATGTAAGCCCTAATGACATCCTTAAAATCATTACGATAATCGCGTACTGCACGATCGCAAAAATTTAAGGAATAGGACGTAGTATGTCCCAAACAAGGATGGGAGATCGATTCGGATCAAAGAACATTTTTTTAGTGGAATAGTTAATTTAGAGTAACCTTTCTAGTACATTACCGAAATATCTAAAGTTTTGTTAAAAATTACAACAAAATTACTAAAGTAACTTTCTTGGCAAACTTTGTATTTTTTGAATAGTTTAAAGCAGATATTCATTAATAATGTATCATATTTGCATATTGTTTCTCTCCACTAATGAATATTTCTAGTTTGTCATCTCAATAGTTACAATTTATCTTGTCAACAACTTTTTCGATACATACAAACGTACTTGTACATTGTTATTAATGTTCTGTGTACTGTTACCAGTTAAACACCTATATATAACCCGTATATATATTTATGTTACATTACGTGAGTTGTCGAGCTTCGCGCATTACTTTGAAATATTACAAACTACTCATAAACGATAATTAATAAGACATATCGCGATGAATTTCTTGTCAATATCAACTTTTCATGGTCCATACACAGAAGACAGATATAATGAGTTTTTTAATCCAAACGTTTGTCATGTTTGCAAACAGCCCAGGGAAGACTTGATAATGTGTAATCGGTGCTACATGATTTCTTACTGTTCCGAGGAGCATGAGGCGATACACAGAAACTCACACTCTCAGATCTGCAAAGCTATAAGAAGTGTAATAACATACGAATCGTTCTGGGATACGTATCCTAACTCGGAAATATGGATAGAAACACGCAAAGGAATTTTACATCAAATACGCTCTTGTCTCTCACGTGACATACACCAGTACGAAATTGAGATGATATTTTGCGCAAAATCGTGTTATGTGTGTTACCGGCAGGCAAATATAAAGCCCTGCAACATCTGCTATGCAGCCAATTTTTGTGATGATGACCAATTATTATTTAAGATATTTCATGAGAAGTACTGCCGTGAGTTGTTGCTATTACTGAACATGAATATCTTCCATATAAACGGCTGTACAGAAAAAATTTTATTTGAAGACAAATATAAGTTCACCAAATTTTCTTGTGTAAAATCTTTTCATGACACTTTTACATTTATTAACAAGTATGTAGGTATAAATGAGGTTCCTTACTTAGACTTAGATCCTTCTGAATTAGTGTTCTACTGGTCACTAGATCAACGTATATATTCTGATTATGTATCCGGCCCGCTGACATTATACTATGCGTTGCAGGAATCAAATTTAATACCTCTTCCAGAAAATGCACATAAATATATCATTCATGTTATAGGTGCAAACAAAATAGATATAATATGTTTGAAAATATGGCATATTTTCTTACATTGCATTAGACAAACGAAGAACCTGTATATTGTATTTATTAATTCGTTAAATTTTGAGTCGAGCGATTTTGGATTTGTCTGTTCTAATTGCAAAAGATATAAACAGAAACTTTATATTAAAAGCGTATCAGAACCGTATCACGATTTTGTACACTTAGATTCATATGAAAAACCGAATGTTATCATACTGTTTGAAATAGAATGTCTTTCAATAGAGGAATGGTTTGATTCTGTAGAAGCCATAATAGCGCAACAGTGTCCGTTACTTTTAACCGCTAATTCGGAAAATACAGTGCAAGAGAATGTAAACAAGATAGAAATAAAAACAGGTATAAATAGAAATCGAATATACAGAGAAAATAAATTCCGCAGTTATATGCCACGTAGAAATGATGGGACTGGTGAATTTTATTATCGAAATTTGCATTTTATTATGTATTCATAAATTTAAATCACATGACCGTTCCTGTCAACGACTAGAGTTTATGTATAATTTGATCCTGTTTTTATTTTGGTATAGTTGTGTTACACAATTTTTAATAATATTCGAGTATAAATTAGAAATTTTTTACTGAGGCATATATGCAGTAATAAATTAATATTTTTATTAAAGTATATTTGCTCCTTTATCAGTATAGAATTTATTAGAATATAGTGTGTTAGTATATAGTTCCTCATCTTTTCAAAATATGTAAAATATGTCGTATATGAGATAATAGAATGCTGGTCGTATATATGTAGTATATTTGAGTTTTAAAATTTGTCGCATGCTATGCCATAATTGCAGGCAGTTATGATCATTTTATGCGGTGAATTATATAATTGTCTTGTGAATACCTACTTCATTGTTTGTGTTCTGCAAGTAGTATGTAATTATAATAATTTTGAATATGTTTTATATAAATTATATTCTTCACACCGTATTTTGTAATCAATATTCATAACTCGCTATCATTGACTTTTTCAACTTAAATTGTCAAAATATATTAATAAATATGAAAACAAACCTGGAACTATTAACGTTACTCGAGTTATCAACTGTAATTTTAAATTAAATATATATGTAATTATAATCGACAATGCAATATAGATCTTTTAATAGTATACATTTATTAGTAAATTAGTATTATGTTCTTCTTTCCCGATTTTGTAAATGTGTAATCCTCACTGTATTAAATAAAGTTTATATACGATTGTATTATAATATCCGTTATATATCGCTTTCTATTGTTGCACTATTTTCCACGATTAATAGTAAGTGTGGCATAGAAAAACTTTTTGGTCATCTTATAAGTATTCGTAATAAGCAAAATGCTACAACTGGTCACATTGAGAAAAAATATATTTTAATATTTATTTATTGGATTTAAAATGCAAGGTGGGAAATAAGTGTTTAGAAATAAATTTTATTTCACAGCAATTTTATATCCCACAAATATATTTTCAAGTATTTTTCTCAGTGCAACTGCTAACCAGTTGGAGCTAATTGGCATCACTAATTTCTACATGATTGTTAAAGTCAAAGAATCTAGGTCGTGATCAGTAAGAAGGATGCGTATTCGTACCGATCAGCGAATGATAAAATATTTGTAGAAACTATCATCAAATGATGGAATATTTATATAAAGTATCACGGATTTAGAAAGACGCACACGAGGATTTAATAACATTGTCAGATCATGAGTAATGCGTGAAAAGAAGATAAAGTTTCTTAAAATTATTTGAACAGAATTACCGAACCATTTTAGCAAAATAAGGAAATTAAATAAAACATTCTTCTTCCTTAGAATTTTTCCTTATCTTGAATTGTTTATAATGTCGAACAATAATATTTGTCGAATTAAAATTTAATTTAATTGGACTATTCCAATAGACAAACTTCCTCCAATTTAATCAAATTCATTATGACCAAAGAAATCTTTGCAAGAACCGAAGGAAAATTTAGCACACGTGTCTTCGCATATTCCAACATACAGGATGTCATAGATTGATACTAGATTGATCATTAAATTCATTGGAACATAGTATACACTGAGATAAACATCAGAGTCCTATAGCGTCTTGTGATATTCGCAATAAATATGGAAATATTAATTAAAAAAGATTGGTGAGTAATCATGCTCAATATATTAAATAAGTTGTCGTGACGCCGTCTGCCGTTTTATACTTTATACGTTAATTGAAATTGAACATAAAAGTGCTTTATCATTTTGCAAGTGACCACATAGACTTTTAGACCATAATCAAAGAAGATTAATGCATGATCACACGCATCCATACAGCACAAATCAGCAAAAAAACGTTTCTAATGGCGTTCTAATGACGTTCTAAGGACAATTCTAAGGACATTCTAAGTAATTCATACATCCTAAGAATATCCTAGGACATTCTCTAAAGATTTTTGCTATTATCTGGGCAAACATATAACGATTTTTTTCATTAATAACTAAAATTTTAGGTGGTTAATTGCAAAACAATGAAAGACTTTTTGTTCAGTTTAATTTAATATACAAACATACGATAGTATACATCTTTACCACAATCCATCTGCCTATTGCGTGTAATCATTACTTAATCTTCTATAATTAGTATCTCGAGATTTATTGTAAATATCATAAAACAGGATGGAACTTTTATGTTCACCTCAAATCGATCTACGTTTTTACGAACGTTGCGAAACAAATCTTGGACACACAGTATATCCTCTTTTCATCTAGAATAATCAACGAATTTTTGGGTAACATTATTTTAATATTTAACTTACTCTGTATTATATTAGGTCAATCAAAATGTTTGTCTCGATTTTTAATAGAAAATATTGAATATTTGAAGTACAGAATGTCCCATTTTAAATTATCAATTCTGATAATTCTTCAGCCCAGCTTATTCAGTAAAAATGTTTCAGACAAAAGTTGTCGGCTTTAAAGAGGGACATCTGAATGTGACCTTGATTTTGACTTTGGAGATTATTTTGAAAGTTATTCGAAGATCAACTTTGCTTTTTAAATAGATACATTTATTTTTTATTACGGAATTTTGTTCTATGTAAAGAAGCCAACAACTTTTGTTTAAAAACATTTTTTATGTGACCTCTATTTTCTAAGATATTTATTGAAATATTTACAAAATTATTGGTTTCAATAATTTTTTATTCAAATTCTGTCAACTTTACCGAAAAATAACTAGAAATAAAAATTATTTATTTTTTTCACGTAGCTCTGAGAAATTTTTCAAAATTTTTTAATTAAATTCTTAGTATTGCATTTTCTCAAAATTTCTTGAAATACTATAAAGTTTATAAAAAATTCTGAAAAACGAGCGAACATTGTATATTGTGATACGGGCGGTCTCAACACCGCTATGCTGGTACGTATATCACGCTCGCGATTGAGAATTGGTGGAGAAACAAATTGACGGTGGAAAATATAGTATAATGTGTTAATCAAAAGGGGGTTTGCTTCGATTTTGAAGACAACTTCAGTTTTACTGTACTCTGTAGGACCAAATTATTTATCGAGTATTCCCAGTAAAACCCAGATAGCACAGGTTGTCCTACAAACATCCATTTTATGTCCATTTTACGTTTATAAATCCAGGGACATGCAATGGACGTCCATAAGATATCCGATTTTGGACATCCGTTAATGTCCATAATTTGGATGTCCATAAAATATCCGATCTTGGACATAAATGTTTTAAGAATAAAATTGATTATAGGCATGTTGAAAATGCGCGCTATCAATGCTACATATCATTTCATCCCCAGCCAGCAACGTCACGTCATTTTTACGTCGATAAATGATGATTACCAGTCCTAGAGGTCGTGTAACTAATAACTGACGTTTAAAAAACGTGGACAATTTTGTCGTGATAGTAACATCATTTAAAAACGTCTATAATACGTTTTCGAAAGATCATTTTTAATCAGCTGTTCGAAAAGCAAATGTGACAGATTTTTATCTAATGTTCATTTATATCAACTGTGGTGTATGTAACCAACAGAATATTATTTACACATGTTGCTATTTATTTTTTATGTGCTTGAATCTCAAGCATTTGGCTCTTAGAAATAAATTTTATAGTACTTGTCCTACCATTTCTTACTCTCTTGCATCGTCGCAATTATTCAGTTAGTAGGATGATGTTCAAAGATATGTTAATGGAAAAATGTTAACTCAGATAGCACAGAGATGAATAGAATTTCATAGAAAATTCATTTTAGAAAAGACCTAAATAATTAAGAAAATGAATATCTGAAGAATTCCTGAAGAATTATCCGAGCCTAATTTATTCTAAAGTATTCTTTGGAACTTTATTATAATAAATATTTTGCGAATCATTACTTGGAATATCCTGAGAATTTGTAAGAAATTACTATTATTAACTAATTTTATTTTCATTTTATGGTTACCTTATGGTTACATTAGACAGATACTCTATCGCTTATAAGAAGCACTGATTTGTATGTTTATATGTTAGGTGTACAACTTTGCTTCCGCCTTTTTTTTCCGAAATTCGAGGTTTTATTGTAAAAAACTGGTTATACATTTATGATTCAAATTATTTTTCATCGCTGGCCACTACTTTCTCCCATCTTTCGGGCAGCGTACGAATCCCGCGTCCAAAAAACTGGTCATCTTTTGAGGCGATCCACGAATCGATCCAATTTTTTACTTCTTCATAAAACCGGAAGTGCTGGTCAGCCAGGCCGTGTGCCATTGATCGAAACAAGTGATAGTCAGAGGGAGCAACGTCTGGAGAATACGGCGGATGGGGTAGGACTTCCCATTTCAATGTTTCCAAGTATGTCTTGACCACTTTCGCAACGTGGGGTCGAGCATTGTCATGCTGCAAAATCACTTTATCGTGTCTCTCGTTGTATTGCGGCCGTTTGTCTTTCGATGCTCGGCTCAAACGCATCAATTGTATTCGATACCGATCGCCTGTGATTGTTTCAGTCAGTTTTAACAGCTCATAATACACTACGCCGAGCTGGTCCCACGAAATACAGAGCATGACCTTGGAGCGTGAATATTCGGTTTGGCCGTCGACGTGGAAGCATGGCCGGGAACTTTCCATGATTTTCCGCGCTTGGGGTTATCGTAATGAACCCATGTTTCGTCCCCAGTCACAATGCGATGCAGAAATCCCTGCCGTCTTTGCCTTTCAAGCAGCTATTCACAAGCAAACAAACGTCGTTCAACATCTCTCGGCTTCAATTCGTACGGCACCCAATTTCCTGGCTTCTGAATCATTCCCATTGCTTTGAGGCGTTTAAAATGGCTTGTTGAGTCACTTCCAATGACGGAAGCGATGGGTATCCAGTTGAGAAATGGATCGCAGACTTTGAAGATTTAGCAACTATGTTTGAGTGGAACGAGATGCAGAAATTGTTGTTCGCTCGTAAATCTATCCAAGGTGTTGCCAAAATATTTGTACGAGGGTTGAAGGTCACACAGTCTTGGAAGGGTCTTGAAAGCTGCGTTGAAGGAGAAATTTGGCCTCAAAATAAGTATTGCCGACATTTATAGGAAGCTTGCCGAAAGGAGGAAGATGGACGAAAGCCTTCAAGAATATTATTTGGCCATGAGGGAGCTGGCGGCTCAGGGAGATGTCGAGGTTGAATCGGTAATTCAAAACGTAATCGATGGTATTCCTGACAACAGCAATAAAAAAATTTTGTACGGAGCTCGAGATTATAGCGAATTCAGGACGCGCCTTCGTACAAACGAAAAAATCCAAGAGCGATGTTCAGCAGGTAGCAGTTCAGGCAGCAGGGGTAATCCAAAAAAGGAGTCTTCGAACAAATTGACCAAGGATGACAATAAATTTTCAAAAGACGACCAGCAGAAGACGTTGAAAACGACATCGCTGTTATAACTGCGGTGAGAATGGGCATAAAACGAATACATGTAAATTCAAGGATTGGGGTAAGAAATGCTTTAAATGTAACAAATTTGGTCATGAGTAAAAAAAATGTTCCGGTACGAGTGATTCTAGCGACGCGCAAGCAGCAGCTAATATTCTTGTGAAAACTATTAACGTAAGTCGAATGTTTAAAGAAATTTCGATTGAAGATAAGAAATTTGACGTCTTACTAGATACAGGTAGTCATCTTTCTCTGATACGCGAGGATAAATTTAAGCTTATTGATACTTCAAAACTATGTGAGTCAGAAGTACTCTTGACGGGTATTGCTCAGGGTCAAGTTAAGACGCTTGGACATTTTCAAACAACAATTATAGTCGACAGTTTGAATTTTCCTTTAACGTTTCACGTAATTCCTTCAAAGGCTTTAGATGTCAGTGTAATCTTGGGAACAGATTTTATTAATTAGACTGAAATAACAATTAATCAGCAGGGCATTATAGTAAATAAGCCTAGTGTTGTGGTTTTTCTGTCTCAAATTAAATTACAAGCGGAAAAGGATGAGACGATTAACACAGGTTTGACGATTAGTAAAGAGTCTAAAAATATGGTAGAAAACATGATGTTAGCATATAAGCCTAATAAGATTAAAACGACTGATATTCAATTGAGTATAACATTGAAACACTTATTTTTCAAAATGCACGACGATTACCTCCGAAGGAAGCAAATAGTGTTGAAAAACAGGTGAATGATTGGATTGACGAAAAAATTGTGGAGCCATGTTCATCTGAATACGCAAGTACAGTGGTTGTCGTAAAGAAGAAAAACGGTTCTCCTCGACTCTGTGTGGACTACGGGAAAATCAATCAAGTAATGATCA